AGCAGGGAGCCCGATGCGGGACTTGATCCCAAGACTCCAGGATCATGACCTGAGCCGAAGGCAGTTGCTTAACCAACTGAGCCACCCAGGCACCCTAGAGCAGGAGTTTTTAATTGTCATGAAGTTCAGCCTATCAATTCTTTCATGAATTGTGCCTTTGATGCTGCACCTAAAAATCATCTTCATAGCCAAGAAAAATCCAGATTTTTTCCTATCTTCTAAGAGTTTTATAGTTTTGCATTTTACATTAGGTTTGTGATCCATTTTGAGTTAATTTTTGTGAAAGGTGTGAGGTCTGAGTCTAGATTTTTTTTTTTTTTCGCATGTGGCTATCCAGTTGTTCCAATACCATTTGTGGAAAAGATTGTGTTTGTTCCATTGTACTACCTTTGCTCCTTTGTCAAAGATCAGCTGACTATATTTATAGGGGTCTATTTCTGGATGCTCTGTACTGTTCCATTGATCTCTGTGTCTGTTCTTTCATCAAAACCACACTGTCTTGATTACTGTAGCTTTAGAGTAAGTCTTGAAGTCAGGCAGTGTCAGTCCTCCAACGTTGTTTTTCTCCTTCAATACCATGTCGGCTGTTTTCACACAGCAAAAATGACGGAGCCTGGATCTGGACCCAGCTCTGAGTCACTCTGACTTTTGGATAGCCTATCCAGGATACTTTCTTCACGTACAATCATATATTTGCTTTTGTTTTTGCATGAACATTAACCGACTCCAACTTTATTCTGTCCCTTGTTTTTACTCAATCCATTTAGGAGGTCATTCCATACCTTTACATAACTTCTGTGTACAGACACATACATACATTCATTGTTTTTTCCCCTGCCACAGGGTGGTCTGTTGAGCCCCGCTCTGTAATGATTTGGCCAGTTCCTTATGGAAGGGTATTTAGGATATTTTCAGAGTTTTGCTACTGCAGTAACTATCTGCAAACTAGGATCTTTGCTCCCCTCTACCAGTCTTATCTATAGAAGAAATTCCTACTGGGTCAAAAAAAAAAGCTTTTTAAAATCTGAACTTTGCCAAATTCTCCTTGAAGAAGGCTGTCCCATGTGAGTGGCAGAGGTTGTTTTAAATTCAGAGTGCTTTAAGCCTTTGACTGAAGGATGGAGAGGTGAGGCTGTATGTTGCCCCACTTGCCACCCCCTCTGACCTTGACCTATTTTCCCAGGCTCTTGGTTCAGGCCACACCCTTCGCCTAGAAGCCTGCTCACCTTGCACCTTTCCCAGAGAGCCCTGCCCAGCTCGGGTAGCCCTGCGTCACTTTCCATGCCCCCACCCAATTTTATTCCTTTATGGCACTTACCACTAAATGAAATTATTTTATGTATATACCTGTTGATTTCCTGTCTCCCCTATTCTGCAAAGGATGGGGGTTTTCCTTTTTTCACACTCAGCCATATTCCTAGCACCCTAGCAATCACTCGGTGTATATTGCTGTTTCCCCTATCCCAATCCCTACTATCCTGCTCTATTTTTCTCCATAAAATGTATTCCCTTCCAACAGATATAGTTGACTTATTTATCATATGTATTCCCTGACTCCCTCACTAGAGTGTCAGCTCCAGCAGGGCAGGGATTCTGTTTGTTCACTGTTGCATCTCAACAGCTTAGAATGGCACAAGTCACATAGTAGATGCTGCACAAATACTTGTTGGAAGAAAGAAAGAGAAAGACAAAGAGGGAGAAAGGAAGGAAGGAGGAAGGGAGGAAATGAAGGAAGGAAGGAGGAAGGGAGGAAATGAAGGAAGGAAGGAAGGAAGGAAAGATCATAGCCCCGACCCTCATGGGCTGGCAGGTTGTTCCTCCAGAGGAAAAGACCCATTAAAGAGCTGGCGCCCCCCCAGGTTGGGCCTGGGCCCTCCAGACCTGGAGCACAGAGGGGATAGGGCTAGCTCTGGCCCCGCCCCAGAGGCCCCGCCCCGCACCGGAGGCCCCGCCCCACCCGTCAGCTGGCCCGGGCGCCCGCCCCGCTCTGCTCCGACCTTGCCGCGGCGCAGCGGGGGTGGGAGGCGGGGAGGAGCGGCGGGAGGAGCGGAGCGAGTGCGGCGCGGGGCGCAGTCGCCAATGAGCTGCGCGGAACCTGCGCCCCTGACGACCCGAGCCCTCTGCGCCCCCTCCCCACGACTCACCTGGTGCCAGGTAAGGTAACAGGTAAGAGCGCGGCGCCCGGGAACCCCGGACGGGTCTTTCTGTAGCCGGGGTGCCAAGCCGGACACGGGCTGGGGGCGTCTGGGTCCCCCTGCCTCAGAGGTGGAGTAGGCATCACTGTTGAAGGTGGCACCCTTCTGGGAGCCTTCTCGCCTCCGCCCCTGTCCCCAGGCGCCCTCGGCCGCAGGTCCCAGCCCCCCATCCCTGCAGCAGCATCCTTTCCACGCCCTCAGGGCGAATGTTGCTTTTTTTTTTTTTTTTAACTCCTCACGCGCCACTGCCTCTTGGAAAATGGTGTGGGCGCCTTTTGGGGAGGATCCTGGGATGGCTGTTCTCCCCCTAGGAACGGATTGGTGCGACTTCCCAGGGCTCCCCACGTTCTACAGCGGCGCCTGCCCACGGATCCTGAGCACCCTGGCTGTGGCAGAAGCCTGGGGGTTCCGACCTGGGCCTGCGGATCTTGGCAGACGTTTCCCCTCGGTCTCCCCCGCTGGTCAGTGGGCTGACGTTCCACACGCATCCTCTTGGCAGTAGGCCTGTGGGTTCCCAGGGGCTCCTCCCTTATTTCTGGGTCTGTGTTAAAACAGGATGCCCCCGTCCCCCACCTGATGTCATTTAAGATAGCTAAGCTGGTCTGACAGGATTTAGTGTCTTCTGCCCTCTGCCCCACCCCCTGGAGATAGGCTGGCCTCCATCCCTGCTTCAGAGGGCAGGTGGCAGGTGACCCGAGGAGGGTAGTAGGAAGGCCACCATAGTTCCCCAGTTTGCCTTCGCCTAGAACCACGAGTTACCTGAAACAACTTTCCCAAGTCTCTGAGAGAGGGCCAGTCCCAGTGTGAGATGTGGTGGGCTGAGCAAGGCTGGAGTCAGGATGGAACAAAGTGGACCCAGCCCGGTCCTGGCGCTATGTCCCGAAACCCCCCAGTGACACCACCCTCCATTGGCCAGTGTTTGCTGAGCAGTGAATGGGCCTTTCCACTGCTGGGCAAATGACAATTTGGGGTGAAAAGTTCACCACGTTAGGAGTGGACCGAACTGCTTGGACCACCTAGGTCCTTGAGGGCCCTTTTGTCGTGGTCCCTGAGTAGCCTGGGCACGTCCCACCCAGAGAGTCAAGTGTTGGGTTTCAGTCCTGCCTTTGCCTATTGTCTGCATGCCACCTAACTTCCCCAGGCCTCCGTTTCCCCATCGGTAAAGTGGGGGTGATTACGTGAGGACCTCCCACAATAGTGGCGAGGATGAACTAGAATGGGAGGTGCCGGGCACTTGGCCCATTGTTTGGCAGTGAGTAGCATGCTGTAAATGGTAGCTGTTACGGTTGTAATAATAATTGTCATTTATTATCTCCTGGATGCTGCAGACCTTCCTTCCGTGCAGCTGACGGCCGGCAGTGCCCCAACCACCATTTCTACTGAGACTAAAAGCCTTTGGCAGGACCCCCTGTGGGGATGGGGTCACTTGCTAATCCTGTGCCATTCCTTAGCATCTGGGGGCAGGGCGAGTTGCCCCTGTCTTCCCGGGCCATGTCACATCCTGAACAGGGCCTGCTCTGGCCTCTGGCCACCACCTTGTCCTTGTCCCTCGGGCCCCTCTTGTCACCCATGTGCTCACACTTTGCCCTCCAGCTCCACCTGGCTGAGCTCAGCTGCATCCACCAGATCAGGCAGCTGGAGAGCAGGGCTGTGCCTCCAAGCCGCCCGATGGTCCCCATTCTCCCCTCCTCACAGTCTTGGCTGGTGGTCTTGTCCCCTTCACCCTCCTGCTCAGGAAATTTTAAAAATAACAGAGTAGCCTGTCCCCACCAAGGGCTGTAACCCGACCCGAGTTGGATTCTGCTCCATCAGAGCCTGGAGTACAAGGACTCAGCCCTTGGGAGTATGGGGCCATGGTGCTATAGCTACTCTGTCCTCAGCTTGCTGGGTGACTCTAGACAGCCTTCACCCCCTGCTGCTTCTCTGTGCCTCAGTTTCCCCATCCATATAATGTGGTTCAGATAGTCTGTGATGCTGAGTGTGAAACTTTGCTTATACTGGTGAAGATAAACACCCCTTGCTGGTGACTGTCAAATGGGGTTGACATTACCCCAAGCAGAGGGGTGTTGGGAAGGAACTCCCCCAGTGACTGGGAGTGGTAGCAGGAAGAGTGGGCCAAGTCCCTCAGCTGGTGTCTGGCAAATCTGTCTCCTGTCCCACTTCTGTACCCCAGCTCCCTTCCAGGGCCAAGGAACTCCTTGTGCCCACCAAGAGGTGAGCAACAGCCAAGGTGGCTGGCAGGGCGTGGGGGGAAGGCAGTGGCTTGGCCAGGAAGCCTGGTGCGGCGCTGGGCCAGGACCATCCCTCCCTGGGCTCCGACTCACGCTCACCCACTCACTGGCTTCCCGAGGCCTCTGCATTGCAGCAGATAGGAACCTTTGCTGGCAGCCTAGCTGGGGCTTGGGCTGGAGCAAGGGACTGGGCAGGGGGTGACTGTTCCCACCAGCCCTAGCCCTGCTCCCTCGCCTGCCCTTGGTCCCATTCAGCCCTGGCTTCCCTTGGAGGTGCAGCTGCTGACAAGGGAGCCTTTTCGGGCACTGACTGGAGTCTGCCTGGAAGTGCTGGGCTCTAGGCGGGGCCCGGGCTCAGGGACTGTCACACCCCTCGGTCCTTTCTGCATCTCAGACAACCCCACCCCCCAGCATCATTAGGGGGTCTTGCCTACCCCTGGAGAGGCTGTTTTGAAGCATTAGGGCTTTGGAACTCCACGGCCTGGGTTCACATCCCAGCTCTGCCACTTCCTACCTGTGTGATCTGGGACAGCTCAGTGAGCCTCTCTGTGCCTCAGTTTTCTTGACTGTAAAATGGGGGTAATAGACCCTACCTCACAGGGTTCTTGTGAAGATTCATGTATTTAAATCACATTCATGCATTTAAATCCTTAGACAAACACTCCCTATCAGCACTTGCTATATTGACAAGTGTTTTAGCTTCATAGTTTAGAGCCCAGATTCTGGAGCCAAATAGCTCTGCATTCAAATCCCAGCTCTGCTACTCACCAGCTGTGTGATCTTGCAGAAGTTCATAACTTCTCTGGGCTTCAATTTCTCCATCTGCTAAATGGGGTTGAGGATAGTACATATCTCACAAGTTGTTGCAAGGATTAAATAAGCAAACACATATAGTGTGTGGCCTATATAAAAGGCCGGGCCTGGGGTTCCTGGCTGGCTTAGTCAGTAGAACGTGTGGCTCTTGATCTCAGGGTCGTGAGTTCAAGCCCCATGTTGGATGCGGAGCCTACTTTAAAAATAAAATGAAATTAAATGCTATTTAGAAAAAATTTTAAAAAGTTATATAAAAGACCAGGCCCAGAGGAAGGGCTGTGCTACATAACTGTTTGCTTATATTTATTAGGCACTGCTATGTGCCAGGCCTGCAGTACAGTGGTTGAGAGTTAGGTGCTAGGATCCTTTACATACTGGCCCAAGTCCTGGCTTGGGCCTTTGTTGGCAGAGTGATATGGGGCATATGCTTTTGCCTCTCTGTGCCTCAGTTTCCCCAACTGTATATGGGAATATGGAAGCAACTGCCTCATGGGGTATGTAGGATTTCTGTCACTCCAGAACATGAGCCACTAGCCTTTGGGCACCAGAGCTGTGGGGGAGAGGGTCTCTCGAGCTGACCCCCTTCTCAGTCACTACTCAGAGTGACCCCTCCTGGTGTTCCATGCCTCTCCTTTCCACTTAGGGACCCTAGAACTTTGCACATTTTGCAGATGGGATGACAAAGACCCCAGGAAGAAAAGGGATGGACCCCAGTCAAGAGGTAGCACTCAGAGGTACACCCCCAGCCCAGTCCCCGTCCTGCCCTGGATAGGTCCCACTTCCAAACATTGCCACCAGGCCCCCACATCCTGCAGGATTCCTGCAGCTCCTGGGGTCTCCTAGGCACTGGCTCAGTTCCAAGCGGCCCAGTGTGGGGGGTGCTTTGAACAAAGCAGACATCAAGCTCCAGAAGGCCAAAAGGGCCTAGGTCAGGGGATGAAGGGCAACCTGGGCTGAAGGAAAATATTCTGGAAACTTCCAGGCAGATGTGAAAGTCCCTGGGTTGCTCTAGGGCCTTTGGCCACCCCCGCCCCCCGCCGACCCCAGTCTTGGTCTACGGCCTGATTTGGGGAGGAGAGAAGTAAACAAACACTTATTATGCACCCACTGTATACAGTGGTAACAATCACAGCCAGGCACCGTGCCCAGAACGGATGTTCACGCACTGAACCTCATGCTGTTTTAAAAATGAGGAAACGGGTTCAGAGAAATTAGTAGTAGTGTAATAGTCGTACTAGTACTCATACTAGTTACTAGTGGTAAAAACAGCGACCATTTATTGCACTGTTTGCTTATCTCGATTGCATCTATAAGGTCCTCCAGATGCCGGCACCCTCACCTCCCTGACCCCGTGGGGATCCCTCAAGCACGTCGGCGCCCTCCTCCCCCAGGGCCGCGGCACCGTCTGTTCTACCCGCAGATGCTTTCCCCCCAGATACCCACGCGGTGGACTACCTCACCTCTTTTCAGTCTCGCTCAAGGGTGACCTTCACAGCAAGGTCTTCCCTGGACCCCCTATTTACAACTGCTCTCACCCCCCATTGCCCCCTATTCCCTGTTCCCCATTCTTTTCCCCACAGCCCTTAGCTCTTTTTTTTTTAATTAAAATTTTTATTTATTTTGAGAGAGAGCACGAGCAGGAGGAGGGGCAGGGGGAGAGGGAGAAGCAGGCTCTCCTCTGAGCAGGGAGCCCGATGTGGGGCTCAATCCCAGGACCCTGAGGTCATGACCTGAGCCAAAGGCAGACGCTTAACGACTGAGCCACCCAGGCGCCCCATCAGCCCCTAGCTGTTAACATACTATACCATTTACTTATTGTGTTTGTCTGTCTCTGACATGGGTGTGTCATCTCCACAAAATCAGGGATCTTTGTGTTTGTTCATTGTTAAATCCCAATACAGAGAACAGGGTCTGGCCCACCCAATACCCACTGGTACTCAGGAAACATTCTTTAAATGAATGGGATCCTCACACCAGTCCTGTGAATTCAGTGCTCCCAACATTGCCATCTGACAGATGAGGAGACCAAGGCCCAGAGATTCAAGCCACTTGCTCGTAGTCACACAGCCAACAAGTCGCAAACCTGAGCCCCTTGCCCCGTTGCCCCCGATAGGTCTGGCCTCGCCCCCACGGACCATGGCCTTGCCCCCGTGAGCTAGAGCCTGCTCCTCGGCACCTGCCCACCGCCAGCCAGCAGAATGCAGCTGTGGAAGGCGGTGGTGGTGACCCTGGCCTTCATGAGCATGGACGTCGGCATGACCACGGCCATCTACATCCTCAGCCACCTAGACCGCAGCCTGCTGGAGGACATCCGCCACTTCAACGTCTTTGACTCGGTGCTGGACCTCTGGGCAGCCTGCTTGTACCGCAGCTGCCTTCTGCTCGGAGCCACCATCGGCGTGGCCAAGAACAGCGCCCTGGGGCCCCGGCGGCTTCGGGCCTCCTGGACCATCATCGCCCTCGTGTGCCTCTTCGTGGGCATCTACACCATGGTAAAGCTGTTGCTCTTCTCCGAGGTGCGCAAGCCGGTCCGGGACCCGTGGTTCTGGGCCCTCTTCGTGTGGACTTACATCTCGCTCACCGCCTCCTTCGTGCTCTGGTGGTTACTGTCCACGGTGCGGCCGGATGCCAAGGCCCTCGAGCGGGGGGCTGGGGCCGAGGGCTTCCCCGGGGAGCACCGGCCCCCTCGTGAGCAGGCATCTGGGGCCACGCTACAAAAGCTGCTGTCCTACACCAAGCCCGACGTGGCCTTCCTCGTGGCGGCCTCCTTCTTCCTCATCGTGGCGGCTCTGGGTAAGTGAGGAGCCAGGGGGCCTGGCAGGCACCCCGGAAAGCAACTTAGGGGGGTAGATATAACTACCGCGTCCTTCCTCTTCAATCTTTTAACATTTCGTTCATGTGGTTCAAACATCAAATTGATGTGAAGAGGCAAATATTGAGAGTTTCACTCCTAATTCTGCCTCTGACTACCCTGATCTCCCTGCCGAGGGCTAACTACAGGAAAATGTTCCAGAAGCTTCCAAGTGGGTGGGAAACTGCTTTTCTTCATTTCTTGTATATTCTTCCAGGGTTTCCTTCTGGAAGCTACAAGCAAAAATGAACCTGTTACTCTCACCACCTCTCACACGTTATTTCGTGTCTTGCTTTTACCACTTAACGACGTATTTTAGAAATTTCCAATCAGTACCTCATTCTTTTATTTGGCTGCGTAATAGTCCACTGTGAGGCCATTCCAGAGATTATTTAGTTGGTCTCCTTTTGTTGGCCCGTCAAGTTGTTTCGAGTCTTTTCTCTTAGAGTAAATAACCTAGTTCGTACACATTTCATATAAGTGTTGGTGTATTTGTAGGATAAATTCCTGGAAGTGGGATCACTGGGTCAGACAAAGCATTTTTTATGATGAAGCAGAATATACTAGAGACCGTCAGAATTATGTTGTCTGTGGTAAGAGTAAGTACTGTTTGGTGAAACTTATTTTAGGTACGTGTGCCTACATGTAAGTGTGTCCTGGTTTGTCACATAAAGTGTATTTGTTACTGTGGTTCCGGCCCAAACAGTGTGAAAGTGCTTGCTCAGACAAGGTGGGTGGGAAGGTGACATCTCAAGGTCAAAATTCCATGGGTTCCGGGGGCCACAAGCCCTGGGCATGCATTGCAGTCCTGCTCCTTACCTGGCTGTGTGCTTACAGGCAAGTTATCGGAACTTTTAGAGCCTTGCTTCTGTGAAATGGGGATTGTTAGCATCCCCCATGTTTCATGACGTTGGAAAGCTTGAATAAAACAGATAGGAAAAGGACAGGTCCGGAGCTTAGTACAATACGCTAAGTACACAGAAATGTTAGCAGTTCTGAGTTGTTACACGTTTAACAGACAGCATCTGGGAGCAGCCCCAAAGCCAGAGTATTCTCAGAGAGGACAGGCAAGCCCCAGAGCTGACCCCTTTCCTCTCACTATCGACCCTCTGCCCTCTCAGTCTCAAACCCTTGATCTCTGTGTGATTTTATGCAAGTTACTTAACCTCTCGGGGTCTCAGTCTCCTCATCTGTAAAATGGGCATAATAATGGTACCTATCGCAATAGGGACTTATGAGGTTCAGTAAGTTAATATGAATAAGACACCGCAGATAGCTCCTGGCACCTAGAACACTCCCAATAGATTTTAGTGGCTGTGAGTACTGGGATGACCCCTTTCCATTTTACCAGATAGTTTCTCCTGCTCATGTTTCAAGGTCCCAATGTCCCCTCCTCCAAGAAGCCCTCTTGAATTATACTGACTGTGATCCTTTATCTGCACCTCAGTTGTAACACTGGTGACATGAAAATCATGCGTCCACTGTCCTGCCCCCCCCTTTGGGCCAGATCTGACTCACCCCAGGTCCCCCCACAACCTGGTACAGAGGCAGGCTCACAGAATGAATGAACACATGACCATCCTATCTGTGTGAGCAGATGTCACCCACGACCTTGTTTCCCCCCCCACCACTGGGGCCCTGTTGTCAGCTGCTGTGTGCTCAGGGAATACAGATGTCCTAAAATACAGCCAAGCAGAGTCTGCCAGCCTGCAGGATGGCGTCGAGATTAAGGACTTGGACTCGAGATCAGGCCCCCAACTGCACTGATCACCTGAGACAAGGTTACGGAACCTGGCCAAGCCTCAGCTTCTCATCCCAACAGTGGGGTTTTGTTGGGCTCTTGTGAGTTGGGTGAGCTGGAGCGCGGTGCCGGCAAAAGTAAGTACTTCACACAAGTTAGGGACTATGACTACTGATAATTATTCTCAATCAGCAAGCCTCCAGGTGGGGCCAGCTTTTTCTGAAACCTCATGATCTAAAAGAAAAACTGCCCATTGTGAAAAAAGGTTAGTTTTAGTGTGGAGCATCTCCTAGCACATTGAAATTCTTTTATATGGATTTCATAGCAACCCAACTAGAAAACCTTGGGCAAGTACCTTAGCCTTGATTTCCTCATCTGTAAAACAGGAAGACTGGTGATGCCACACCTATGGGATTATTGGGGGGCATTGGAGACTTGGAAAAGATGAGGGAGCAGATATCCAGGGTAACAATGCTCTAGGCAGAGGGAACAGCCCGTGCAAAGGTCCTGAGGCAGGAAGGGGCCTGGTTGTGAAAGGAAAGGCAAAGAGGCCAGTGTAGCTGGAGCAATGTGTGTGGGGGGGGGCGGGTAGGCAGAAAGAGTAGAAGATGAATTCGGGGCAGTAGCAGGTGCCTGGTCATGTAGGGCACCACTGGCCACTGTAAGGGCTTTGGTTTTTACCCTGAATGAGGTGGAAGCCTGAGGAGTGACAAGGTCTGACTTGGGTTTCCTAGGGCCCCACTGTGTGCTGCGTGGAGAACAGACTGATGGGGACAAGGGTGGCAGCAGGGAGAACCAGGAGTTGGCTGAGGAAGTCCAAGTGAGGTTGGAGATTTGAACCCAGGTGGGAGCAGTAGGGGCATTGAAAGAGGTTGGATTCTGGAGATACTGTTGACCCTTGAACAACACGGGGAATGGTTGAAAACGCATGTATGACTTTTGACTCTCCAAGAGCTTAACTACGAATAGCCTACTGTTGACTGGAAGTCTTGCTGGTCACATAAACAGGAGATTAGCGCATATTTTGTATGTTCTATGTATTATACACTGTATTCTTACAATAGAGTGAGCCACGGGAAAGACGTTACTAGGAAAAATCATAAGGAAAATACACCTGCAGTCCAGTACTGCGTTTATGGAAAAAACCCACGTGTAAGTGGACCTGCGCAGTTCAAACCCCCGTTGTTCAAAGGTCAACAATATTTTGAAGGTGGAGCCCCAGGATATGCCAATGGATTGGAGAGTTTCATGTGATTCTTGTGCGGATTCAACAAGAGTTGGCGCACATGCTTAGCGCAATGCCTGTTACCCAGGAAGGGCTCCGTAAGTGTCTGTTGTGCTTAATATCGTCATCAGTGTTTGCTGGAGTTGAGCTGCTCTTGGAGCTCGCTGATGCCCTTTTCTTTGCTGCGGGTAAACTGAGGCTGAACTTCAACTCAGGTGGACTCCACAGTGTCCGCAGTGAGAAACCCCATCTAACGGAGGACCGTGGGGACTGAGGCCCTCGAGGCTGCCACCTTGTGGTCCCTGTGCCAAGACCAGCAGAGGGCAGCAGAACCCCACAGAAGGCCTCACTGTCTCACACAGAGCTGGCCAGGATTCATTTGCTGACCCTTACTGAGCGCCTGCTGTATGCCAGGTTCTGCCTGTGGAAAGAGCCAAGTGACAGTGAGGACACAGCCGGGTCTGACCACCTTCAGTTCCCTGTCCATCATCCCCACAAGATAACAGCAGGCTTTCTGGGTTATTGGGAGGGAAGGGATAGGAAAGAGCCCCCAAATGCGAGGCCAGTTTGGGTTTGAGTTCTGGCCCTTCCTCTTAACTGCCCTGTGCTGTGTGACCTCAGGCAAATCACCCAGCCTCTGACTCTCCTGTTCACCTCTGTGAAATGGGGGTGACGTCCCGCTTGCCCCCTCTCCCCGCCCCCCACCCCCAGCATTGTTCTGAAGATACAGTAGTATAATGGGTACGAAATCACATGGCAAACTCTAAAGCGCTTCACCAAAAGGGGCTGGGTGGCCATTTCCAGCACTGCTTGGAACCAGAAAATCCACATCTTCTGAGGTTCTAGAATTTGGACTCTGAGCCCTCTGCCGGCGAGAAGGAAGTGAACTTTGGCCGTGTGGCCCGTTGAGCGTCACCTCACCTTCCAGCTTCATTGCCCTCTTCTGTAAAATGGGGTGATAACAGGACCAGCTGCAGAGCCTGCAGAGGGGACGAAGTCCCGTGGCTTCTTTTTTTTTTTTTTTTTAAAGATTTTATTTATTTATTTGAGAGAGAGAGAATGAGAGAGAGAGAGAGCATGAGAGGGGGGAGGATCAGAGGGAGAAGCAGACTCCCTGCCGAGCAGGGAGCCCGATGCGGGACTCGATCCCGGGACTCCAGGATCATGACCTGAGCCGAAGGCAGTCGCTTAACCAACTGACCCACCCAGGCGCCCCAGTCCCGTGGCTTCTTATGCTCAGGCCTGGTGCCCGTTATTAACAAGACCGCCCCAGTCTGTATAGATTGAATAACCCATGTTTCCTGTGTTCCTGGTCTCTGAAAAGAGGGGGCCTGAAGCAATACGGGCCCCCACCCCGCCTCCCACCATGGTGAGAAGCAGAAGTTTGCCAGGAGAGAAAACCCCATCAGAGGAGTGAGTGGGACACGTGGTGTGCGGGCTCCCCCCGGCTGCAGATGCCTCCTGAGCCCACCTTGTCTCCTGGCAGGAGAGACCTTCCTTCCCTACTACACCGGCCGGGCCATTGACGGCATCGTCATCCAGAAGAGCATGGAGCAGTTCAGCACGGCGGTCATTGTCATGTGCTTGCTGGCCATCGGCAGGTAGCCGGCTCCCACCCCCACGCCCCCCTCCTCCAGGCCTGCAGCAGGGGAGGGAGGTCAGGGAGGCCCGGGAGATGCCCCTGGTGAGCCTGTCACTCAGCCGGTCATCGTGGTAACCAACAACCAAACTGGCTTAGAATGCGTATCCATTCGATTGAGCCCTGCCCTCAAGTCATACCCTCTTGTCCCTAAAATTGGCTTCAGGCCTCAGGGTTCCCCTTTTACCTTCCCTGGCTGCTCTCCAAACGGGAAACCAGGGACAGCCTGCTGTTCTGGAAGGAAGAGGGGTCTGGCTGGCAGCACTGGGTCCCTCGTCCCTGGTAAACACAACCCCTCTCTGCTCTCATCTTGGGGACTCCAGTTGGGGAACAAGGGAGACTGCGTGGTGGTGCCAGCCCTGGAAAGGGGCTCGAGCTTGGGTCCCTCCCTGTGTCTGCCCTGCAGGGGGCCCACACCTGCCAGCCGCGGGAGGGGGCAGCCGGGTTATGGCTGTTGGTTGTCGCAAGGACGTTGTGCTATATATAACATCTCTTATCTGCAATTAGCTCATTTGCCGCAGGTATTCGGGGCGGCATTTTTACCCTCATATTTGCCAGACTGAACATTCGCCTTCGAAACCGTCTCTTCCGCTCACTGGTGTCCCAGGAGATGAGCTTCTTTGACGAGAATCGCACAGGTTGGTCCTCCCGCGGCCTGGGGTGACCTCTGGTGGGGGGGCCCAGCCGGGGGGTGGGGCCAGCCAGGGGGGGCTTGTCTCACGTCGGGGGATTCAATGGCTGGCTTTTCCTGCTATCCTGTTCAGGATAGAAACGCCCCAGGAGGCCCTGCCTGAGGCCGGGAAGCTGGCCTGCTGGCTGAGGTTTTGGTATGAGCTGTGGCCACTGTAGGAGGACCCTGGCCAGGCCAGCTGAGATTCCTGCAGGAGCCAAGGCCTTGCTTTCCACTGCTGTTTGGGAACCACAAAGGCCAGGACTATCCAAGCCTGTGGCCTGAGAGGCTCAGCTCCAAGGGGGTGTGAGGCGTGGGGTCCAGGGCAGTACAGTGTCAGGCCAAGATCCCAGCTCTGAGACGGACCGGCCTGGGGCCCAGCCCTGGTTCCACCATTCGCTAACTTAGCCCCTCTGAGCCTCTGTTTTCTCCTCTCGAAAATGGGAACAATAGTAGGAGCTACCGTGGGGGAGTCGTGAAACTCTTAGCCCGGCCAAGTGCTGGAAGTTTCTCCTCCCCACAGCCCAGATGATTGTTTCTCTCTGAGGGAAGAGGGGAGTTATCCCCTCTGCCAGTGACAGGGAGGAGAGATGGCTTTGGTTCCGGCGCAGTCAGGGACGGGCCGTGTGGGACCAGCTTCCCTCTCTGGGCCTCAGCTGCCTCCCGCGTACGGTGGGATGTGACGTCACGAGATGCTAGTGACGAGGGCTGGGCTCAGAGCAGCCCTCGAGGGGCGTCTGCTCTTCTCTCCCCTCCCCACCCAGAAGGGAGGGGAGGCCCGAGCTCCGTGGTGCCTCTCGGAAGCCCCTTCGTGTCTCCTGCCCGCCCCCCCCCCGCCCCAGTGGCCCCATTGCCACAGTGGGAACTGAACTGCCTGTGTTCCAGGGGACCTCATCTCCCGCCTCACCTCGGACACCACCATGGTCAGTGACTTGGTCTCCCAGAACATCAACATCTTCCTGCGGAACACGGTCAAGGTCACGGGTGTGGTGGTCTTCATGTTCAGCCTCTCATGGCAGCTGTCCTTGGTCACCTTCATGGGTTTCCCCATCATCATGATGGTGTCCGACATCTACGGCAAGTACTACAAGGTAGGCCCCGCCGGGTCCCTGCTGGGGTCTGCGCAGCGCTCCGGAGGGAGGGAGGAGCCTCACCAGGCGCTCGGGGGCGCCCCGCATCCACCTGTGCACTGGGTCATTCAGGGGATCCTTATGAGGCACCTCCTATTTCCAGGCACCAGGATCCATCAGTGAAACCGAAAAGCTTCTGCCCTCAAGGGGCTCATGTTCTAGTGGAAGAGGCAGACGATAGGTAACAGCAATAATAGCGCCGGTATAGAGTATGATGAGAGGTGGTGAGTGCTCAGGAGGAAAATAAAGTGAGAGAGAGAGATGGGGAGCATGGCGGGTGGCTGCCACTTTAAATCGGTCCTTCTGAGAAGGTGACAGTTGAGCCAGGAGGTGGAAATCTCTGGGAAGCACGTTCCAAGCGGAAGGCAGAACCAGTGCACAGGCCTTGAGGTGGGAATGTGCCCGGTGTGTTTGAGGAGCCTCAGGGAGGCCGGTGGTGCCAGAGCGGGGGTGAGGGGACGTGAGAGGGAATGAGGGCAGGGAGGTGACGAGGGTCAGGCCTTTGCAAGAACTCTGGTTTACACTGAGTGCAGAGTTTGCTCTCTTTCTGTAGAGTGTTGATGTGGGGGTGGCTCAGGCCCCAGGAGCGAGGCCCTCGCCCACGATGCAGCTGTGGGCAGGCTGCAGTCCCCTATGGCCACTCCTGGGTGCTGCCCCTGCCGGGAGGGCTGGCCTGACGAGCTAGACCCCAGCCTCACCCTCCTCCTGCTCCCCACCTTGGTGGGTGCTCCTGAGCCGTAAGTGACTGAGGCTGGGTTTAGACAGGTGCAGGCGGCTCCTTCCCCAGTGACCAGGCCTGAGGGGACAGGGGTCCCCCTGAGCAGGAGAGACCGGCTCAGTTAGAACCTTTGGTGGCCGTGGCCCGAGGCCAGCCCCAAAATGCATCCATTCCCCACAACCATTGTGGTGCCTTCTGGCAGAGCCCACCACCCAGGAGGACCCTCTTCCCCGTGATTCTGGGCCACGGGCCTCTGTTTTCCTCCCTGAGTAGAAAGAGTAAATATATAAGTTGGAGCCATTTCCCTTCCTCTGCTCCCCACCCCGCCCTTCCTGCCTTCCGGCCAGCCCCTTCCAGGGCAGGAAACCCTGGAGCTTCCCCTATCAGCCCCCTGCACACCTCAGGCCCTATCGGTTGGGCGGGGCCTCAAGGAAGCTCTCCAGGTCTCCTGCTGGTACCTGAATGTGTTGAATACAGCCACTGAGTCATCCCCACAAGCCACACACACCCTGCCCACGGTCAGACATGACTCAGGACACAGAATGGCTCCACCTGAGTTACCAGAACACGCTGCATGCTTCCGATGGCCTCAGCGAGACTTGAAGGTCATGGGACGCGCCCATGCATGATCCTGGCCTGGCCTCCCTGGCAACCTTCCTTGATGGTTTGAGAATCTGAGCATGTTAACTATTGCAAGGCCTGAACAGCTCTGCCCAGGGGCCACTTCCAGAACGCTGGTGGGCAGCAGCCTGGTGGTCCGCCACTTGGGACGACTTCTCAGCCATCTATACCCAGTCATACACACACAGTGCAGCCAGATTCAGAGCCCTCCACCACCATCTAGAACTTGGCTAGGAGTTCTGGAATCTCTGTGCCAGTCCTCAGGCTCTACCATAATTTAATGTATTTTGATAATGTAAATGACACCCCCTTAATACATGGTGTTTCTTACATAGTGTACAACCTGAACAACCATCCGGGGCATCCCTGTCTTATACCAGCACAGGATCAGGTGTTGAGGCTCCGTTTCTGAGAGGATTACCAAATACTGTGTTTGTGAATAACCACCTTTAAGTAGTGGAGATGACTTCATGATCAGTCCCCCATCCCTCAGGAGCTGGAACCTCAGGAGCTCACCCCAAGAACCCAGCTAGAGTCTATTCTCTGAGTCTGTCAAATGAAGCTAGAAAGCCATGGGGAAAAACGGGGAGCTCGGTCTTGTCCTTTTGTCCTTGGACTCCGTGCATAGAGCTGGCGCTAACTAAGGGTAGAAAACCCGGAGAGGCCGAGGGGCCGTTAGATGGTGAGACTGTCTGTTTTGGGGTCTCTTCCTTCTTGTCCCCGCTCCTGCCCACAGAGGCTCTCCAAAGAGGTCCAGAATGCCCTGGCAAGGGCCAGCAGCACAGCCGAGGAGACCATCAGTGCCATGAAGACAGTGCGGAGCTTTGCCAACGAGGAGGAGGAGGCGGGGGTATACTCGCGGAAGCTGCAGCAGGTGTATAAGCTGAACAGGAAGGAGGCCGCAGCCTACACGTACTACGTCTGGGGCAGCGGGGTATGTGCCCCCGGCCCGGGCAGGTCTGACTGTCGGGGGGCAGGACGCAAAGATGGGGGGATTCCTTGACCAGGACGCGAGCCTTGGTCCCTCCGTGTCAGTGTCAGGCTGGTTGCACTGGACTTTACTCTGTCCCACCTTTCGGCTTGTCCGCGGAGAAATCTTTCTGGAAAAGAATTCACCCTTCCAGTGAATGTCCTCATGGGCACCTCCTCTTTTCCTCTCACCTGGGCATGGGGTGGCTGGGGACACATCCTTGCCCCGGAAGGGAGTCACCCCGAGGCCAGCAGGACCCAGCCCAGGCCACTGTCTGGCAGGCCCTATGTCACAACCACACACACCCCATTGGAGTGTCTAGCTCACTCCCTGTGGGTGAATCACAGCCCCTCCTGGAGAATGGGGAGCACTTGGAGCCTGTTGCTGTCTGTTGGCCACGTCTGGGAGGTGGGCACATCAGGGCATAGCTGGGGTAGGTATGAGAAGGGTTTGGAGTCTAGGGGGAAGAAGGAGTGGTGATCTACCAGGGGACCAGGGGACAGGACAGGCCACCCCTCAAAAGTACCCAGCCAGAGAGGAGAAGGGGCCCGAAACCCAGCTCAGCTAGCCAAGCCTCTCAGCAATCTGCCCACCTGCGTGGGTGCCTTTTGTCCCTGGCACAAAGGCACCGTGGTCTAACCATCGATCTAGGTCTAACCCAGCCAGGGGCTTGGGGTGGGGAGAGGCGGTAGGAGGCCAGGGTGCCCTGGACACAGCCCCTCCTTCATGGAACCTGGTGGGGACAGGAAACAGACCCATCGTCCTGCCCTGCCTGGCTTGCTGTGTGACCTTAGCCAGTGGACTGAACCTCCCCGAGCCATGCTCTTTCCAGTGAGGAGGAGGACTAACAGCTCCCTTCTGGCCTGGCTGAGCGCTGGGGGCTTTTTGGGTGTGTGCCAGGGCCTCACAAAGAAAGCCTTGTTCTCCGCCAGGCCCACGGCTCCCTCCAGCTGGGGGCCTTTGCGGGGAAGAAGTCCAGGGCTGGGGAGCAGGAGGGCATGAGTGACAGCCGGGCACCAGCATTTGGGAGGACATCCCTGCCTGGCTGGAGTTTCAGTCTGTGGCCGGGCAAGCACAGCCCACAGCTGCTCGCACCTCCCCCTGCAGCCTGGGGGGGGGGTGGGGAATGGGGGGCGTACCAGGGTCTGAGCCAAGGCCCCTGTGACCCAGGTCCCCCTGCCCTTCCCTCTGCCCCCAGCTCACGCTGCTGGTAGTCCAGGTCAGTATCCTCTACTACGGGGGCCACCTCGTCATCTCGGGACAGATGACCAGCGGCAACCTCATCTCCTTCATTATCTACGAGTTTGTCCTGGGAGACTGTATGGAGGTGAGGGGCTGGCTTGGGGAGGGGTTCTGGGGGACCTGGAGGGCTGGGGAAGAGGGATGTAAAGGGGGGAAATACTCCGGGGTCTGACGGATGGGGTATTTCTTTCTAAGTAGGTGGGGGAGAGAACATCATACCAACAATGACAGTAACATTACCAAGTGGCCACCGCAGCTCCATTTACTGAGCAGAGTGACAGGGACAAGGATGTTTCAGGAAATGCTCCAAAGAGCACCGTGAGGGGTCTCAGTACTATGCTACCTCCCATTTCTCTGAGGCTCAGAGAGGTTAAGGGACTTGCCCACCACGCTGGTGGGGGAACCGGGTTCAAAGCCAGACGGGTCTGACTTTGAGGCAGGGAGCTGGGGTGTTCCTGCCCGAGCCGCCCTCCGCCGCTGCTTGAGGATGCTTCGAGTGGGGGCCTTAACTCCCTGGCACTACGATGGGCCTCCGTGTCCTCCAGTGATAGAGCTGGGGGTGTGCCTGGGGGGAGGGGGTGTTAGCGCTCCGCATAGGCCAGAGCCACAGCAGCCTGTCATTTGACGCCGCAGTTCTGCCTCTGGGAACCCAGGCCGCAGAGACAGCCACTCCAGTGGGCAGAGGTGTGTGCGCGCTCAGCGGAGCGTTGCTTCACATGATGTAAAGTCCAAGCGTCGTCCAGTGCCGGGGTCAGGGATTGGGCCAACATGGCCCATCCGTGTTCCAGAAGCAGGACGTCTGCACGATAGAAACTAGGCAGCAGCTACAGATATAAGGCAGATCTGTGGGTACCAGCGTGCAAGGGACCCTGAGATGCGCCACGAAACAATGGGAAGAGTCTAATTCCAGTGGCGTGGTTTTTAAATCTCAAAATTATTTATCATGTATGTGCATGTGCTTGTAAATGCACAGAGGAAGGACTGGGAGTATGCGGTAAGCGGATTCCTGGGGCCACCTTTGGGAGGAGGTGTGAGGGGCACTGCTCCATGGTGCTCGTATCTTAACGTCAGTGATAATGTCTTGATATTAATGATAACAGTCCTAGCTGCGCTGGATTCCCCAGCCAGGCCCCTCGGTCATAGCATGCAAGGGCCTGAACTCAGGAGTCGGCTGTGCCCGGGTTCAAGGCCTGGCTCTGCCACGTCCCAGCTGTGTGAGCTGGGGGAAGAGACTTGAGCTCTCTGTGCCTCAGTTTTCTCATCAGCAAAAAACGAGATAATGCTAGAACCTACCCCATAACATATGCAAAGTGCTCAGCAAAATGAGTCGTCATTATCACTCACATTTATGTTGTATGTGTTTTTACCCAAGGAGAATGGATAGCGTGAATTAAGGGCC